CCTAATGCGCATGAAAACAGTAGTCCACCACAAACTGCAGATCCCATTAAGAAACCGAGAACTCCTCGGTTGGATTTATCTGCTACTTCACAAGCATAAATTGGCATTAACGAGAATACCCCACCAACTGCTAAACCCATTATAAATCTTGCTACATAAAATAATTCTATTATTTTTCCAAAAGCCATCATCAAGTAGCAAACGACAAATGGTACTCCTAGAGACAGAAGAGTATATTTTCTACCCATTTTGTCTGCCAGGTAAGTAAAAAAAGAATGGACCAAATGCAGCACCAAGTGTCACTAGAGATGATACCCATGTTCCTTCCTCACTAGTTAAAGTCCGCTTAAAAGGACTCAATGTGGCGTTATAGAGTATTGGTAGTTCTGGTGAGGACCACGTTAAAGCTGTACCTCCCACAAACATTAGAATATTTCCTAGAATAAAAAAAAGTTGTTGAATAAAAATTTTAATAAAAAAAAACATTTTTTTATTCCAAAAATGAAAACAATGCATCTATGAATAGAAGCGTTTTCAAATTAAGTACCTATTTAGTGTAGCTAAAGGAATAATACTTAAAATAGAGTACATTTCTTAAGTACTGTGCAGAAAATGAACAAAATTCTGTTGTTTTACCTTCAAGAATGTAAGGCAATAATCCATAATTTGTTTTATTTTTAGAACGCAACAACTCTTAAATTTGTGTGAGAAAAAAATAGGAAAAAATACGTTTTTGTTTTGTCACTACATTTTAATTTAGGCATAGGATATATGTTCTGACAAGTAAAAATATTATTGTTATATATAAATAAATGAGATTCCATTATAAAATACAATATTTATATTCATTTAAAATAAATGAAAGCTCGCGAAACGAACTAAATATTTACACATATTTACAAATAACAAAATTAATAACATTGCACCAGTTTGCTGAAGTAATAATTTACAAAATACACCATATAACTTAAAATCTTACTCAGTTAACTAAAATAAATCCTTACCAATATTAAACGTCAACATCGTACCGATGGTTTAAGAGATACAAAACACTTTCACAGCTCTTATCAGTACGGTGGGTAGTCAACTTAACTCGCAGGAGCTTCAAACGATACTGAGTAAGAATTACCGAAAAATAAGTAACAAGGGCAACAAGGCAGTACGAATTATACAATAGTACGTAACGCACAGTATTTATAAGAAATAATGCTCATAGTCATGACATAATATGGTTAATGGAATGATTACTAACCAAGAATCATTACTGCTTACAGGATTTTTCTCTACTACACTGCAAATGCTACAATTTATTTATAGCAAGATTCAGGTTTTAGTATCAGGACTTTAACGGAATAAAGAAAGAATAATTTTAAGTTCATATGTCCTATAAAATTATAATATTAAATGCTCCCTAAGTGAACTACGGTCATTTGAAGGGAATGTATTTTTTTTGAGATATTTGATGAACTGGTTTAGATGATTTCTTCAAATTTTGTATATAAAATGTTTTCTCAGCCCGGGAAATTAGCTATATCTGCGTAAATAGGTGCGACATTACAATTTGGTGAAGGTAAAAAGTTGGAAAATTTGAAAATGCGTCTTTCGATTTTTTAAAATCAAAGAATCTAAAAAATCGAAATTGCGTTTTTTTTTTGTTTCCAAATAACGAGCTTACTATTGATTTTATTAAAAAATTAAAAATGAAAGAAGTCGAGAATATCATCCGATTAGGTTACTGAAGGCACTATTTTTCAATTCGCACTTCCGGTTTGTGTGCTGTACATGTGGGTAATTTTTTCTATGTTTTATTTATTTACACGGTACGATAGAGTTTTCCTCTGATTTCAAAAATACCAAAGAATCTTATTTTTAACTTCTCAAATAAGTTAAATAGATATTTATTATAAAAATGTTTCACTTAAACATTATGATAAAAATGTAACGAGTAGACCATGCAAACTAAGCCGTTTATTAAGGTGTGTTATCGTTTTTGCTTTAATAAATTGTAGGTACATTATTTTTGTTAACTAAGATGCAGAACACGAAAATGTATGCAAGTAACTACACCATTGAAGAAAATAACATATCCAGAACCAAATAATTTAACATATAGATATAATTTTAATAAATATCATTGGAACAACATGGAAACAACATAGGAACAACATAAGCATAAGAAATAAAAATACGTAATTAAATAATATGTTCAAATTGTCTTCCATTATTATTTAAGCATTATCTGGATCTGCGTATTGTGCTTGTATGAACATTTGTTACCATCCCTTGGTTTATTGACATTTGTAATTTTTATTTTTAAATAATGCAAAGATAAACCTTACCTTTCACATAACCCTAAATAAAAAATCGAAAAATGATAGATCTGGAGACCTCGATGGTCGTTAAATGGGTCCATTGGTACCAGTCCAAGAATTAGTAAATAAACAATTTAAAAGTTGACACATACTCTTGAATGGTGTGCTGGAGCACCGTCTTTTTGGTACAATAAGTTGAGTTGAACATCTAATGGAAGACGGTGTAAAAATTCCTTAAATTAGTTTCTAAAAATGTAGGTACATTCTTGATTCATACTCTCCTCAAAAACTACGATCTAACAATTCTTGTGTCGTAACAGAGCGCCGGTGAATATTTCTATTATTCATGATAAAGGAAACAGAAAAATTCTCATAAAATTCCTGTATTAATGTGACCGGTTTCGTGAACAATTTAATTACTTCACATCATCAGACACAGGAATTTTTATAAATATAAAACCAGGGTAGTCAAATTAGAATTAAAATAGTTTTGCAACATGTCAAATTATAAGTAAATGTAAGATATAAATTTTTGTTAGTATCTAATTAACTTTTTTAATAAAATTTCTAAAATTTAACGTGCTTCTTTTAAACACATACATATCATGAATAATTACTCATATGGGATCAACCTATCTACGTTATTTCTATTATTGTTTGAGAGTCTTAACTCGTTAGTCCATAAAACTGAATGGATTTATTCTAAGTTTTTGTGGAATCTACCTACTGAATATATTTCGGTTCAGAAAATCAGATTACGTAAGTGTTGTATTTTATGACACAATTAGATTTTTTTTCTTTAATATTCTTTCTGATATTGCAGTGTCACTGAATCTCCCTTAAAGATACTGGTTGTTTTTGTTCATTTTTATTTTCTACGTATGTAACTACTTCATCTATTTTTGTAAAATTTGACATCACTGAGGATACTTTTTACTGGTTTCTTGTTCCTTGAACCTTTACTACTTAAACAAAGTTCTAATTTTTTAAAATAACCTAAATGCGGTTGTCTGTCCCATTTTGCGAGCGAATAATAAATAAGTCATCAAATGAATAAGTTTCCATTTTTTAAGACAAAAATAATATACTCATTGACACCAACAATTGACAACTTGTAGTAAATAAAAGTTTACATTTTCAGGTCCTCTTGCTTTCGAGAAAAATGAGTTTTAACCTTAGAAATGATACAATTGGATGTTTGGAGATACTTGTAGAATAATTTCCGTAAAAATGAAAAAGTAGGCCTTGCATTATAATGATTTACTTTTTACTTTCTTATACCTAATATAATAATATAATTCTATATTTGACCTCATAAAATGGGGTTAGGATGAATCTGGCGGTTGGACAATTGAAATATCTAATTTAGTTACAAAAATGTCAATGCCAATAAGAAGAAATTATTAAAATATATGACATGAATTATTATTGACAGTATCGAAGGACGCTGATAATTAATTATTAAAAAATTTTTATGAAACATTTCAAGGTACGTTTTTAAAATTTAATTGAGGTAAGTGAAGAATTAAACAGTTTTCTGTCATTTAAATAAACAAGAACAATATTTATTTTCTTACGTTTCGGTTTATTATAACCATCGGCAGAAAACTACGTTTATGTTAACTGTGAAGATGTGTGATTTATGTATGTATACTTAAATATGATATTTTTCTTACATTGGTGGTGTGAATTATTAGGTTAAACAATTTATTTAATGTGTGGACTTGATGAAAAGATGTAAAAACTTATTAGTTTTTATTTCTATAGGTGTATTACTTATTATCCCCTTTATATTTAACTAAATAAACTGAAATATGTTTCGCTAAAAGTCTCAATATCTGTACGGTTGTTAATTGCATTATTATATCTTTTAATATGTAGCATTTCGTTATTGGTCGAAAAGTCATTTTATTGCCCTTTTTGTATACTAGCCATACTTTGGAGTATTTCCAAATATCAGGAAAGCAAGAGCATTTAACAGATAGATTAAATAGAATCATAAGGGGATGGGCAAATATTGCAGCACAATCTCTCAATAAAAATGTTCGAATACCGTCAGGTCCCATGGTAAGTTTAGGTTTTATTTTTTTTAATGTCATTAATATTTCATTTTCTGAGAAGTAAACGAGATTAATGCTACTAGTTCCTAAACTATATTCATGTACGGAGATGTTTTTTGGTTCTGCCACAGAATATGACTGTTTAAAGAAGTCTGCATAGGCATTTACAATATTTTTGGATCGTCCAAATGCTCACTATTATAATACATATCATTAGGGATATTGGTCACTCCTTTTTGCTATTTATGTACGCCCAAAACTTAGTAGGATCGTTAGTAACATTGTTTTCAGTCTGATTTATAAAATATTTGTAGGCAGCTTTTATTATTATATTATTATAAAAAACAATAAATAGAACACTCAGAAGACGGAAAAAACACAATTTCTTGAAGGTTAAAACAACAATGATCTGAGGTTTACAAACCGCATGACGCAAAAAATGGCGTCGAGTCTGTGCAATATCATATCTATAATTTATTGTGTCATGACCACGGGTAATACAATCTCCCGTATCCCCGAAGGTATCTCGAGGTACCTTTTATGGGAAGAACTTACTCATTTAGAGGCAACGGACATGCACCCAATGTCCGATTATACTAGAATTAACTTCCGATTAGAAAAAAATCCCAGTTTCTCGACCGGAGATCGAACCCGAGATTCTGGGGTGAGAGCCAAGTGTCTTTACCTCTCGACTACAATTAACTTAAAAAATGGGAATTCTATGACAAATAGTTGTGGTTTAACACTTTCATCAAGTAGGCGTGTGTCCAGAACTTTAAAAGGTACAGTATCTTGATATCTAATTCATTGAAATTTTTAATAGTTTAAATGCAATTTATCATTTTACAGATAATTTCTGATAAGATCAACACTTGTTCTAAAATTTCGACTCAACAGAAACTCTTCTTTTTCCATATTTTTTCTTCTTCTTCTAAGATATTTCAGGTACATTGAAATTTTCGAGTCATCTTTTTATGTATACATAATTTGTTAACCAATGCTTAGTCTTCGAACCCCATTTGAGTTGCACAAGTCAATTAACTATAGCTATTCCTTGCACCTCGCAAGATTAATGGCTGTAGATTCCAGAATTATGTTTCCTACGTATGTAGAAAAACCTAGAATGACCGCTTTCTACATTTGGCTTTCTAACCATTCGGCTGCTTCTTGGTAACCCAGTTTGATCTTTAATTACGAGAACAGCTTAGGCTTTGTCCCTCCGAGTACATCGAAGGACGACAATCTTAATTGAGTAATCTGGGTACACTTGAAGCTTATACTGGAAATCGCAATATTTGGTCTGTTTTCCTCTGCAGATGCCATGATGGTGAGAACTGTGGAGAAAGGATAGTTGCAATAAATGTGACATTTAAATGCCGTTGTCGGCAATGGACTCAATATATTCGGAGATGTAATAGAGCACTCTTATTAGGTCTAATCTGAACATACTATAGCACTCATAATGCCGGATTTCGTCGGTGAATGTTGGCAGAAATCGCTTATATGAGACATGCAGAAAGTATTTGCGATTTCAGCGCTTAACGGCACTTGATATTAAAAATATCCTCACCCTACAATCTTGATCTATCGTAGTCGAATCTAAGGCTTACACGTAGCTACGGTAGACCAAGGTATTGATGACACCATTCTGACAGACCACAATAAATTTCTCGGTCTTCGACATATGTCCAAGTAGGCTGACCCTAAAAAGGAGAATGTCAACCTTATCGATAAATCCATCATTCATAATCATAATGAGGATGATACCGACATAAGATTAGGAGAGTGCGATCTAATTTGGGAACGTTGTAATAATGATGAATATTTGGGTCATAAAATTCTATTCTCCAATGATGCAACATTTTACCTTAACGTAAAAGTATACCGATTGAGAAATAATCCATATACTGGCTTGGTGGAGTAGTTGGCTAGGGTGTGCGTTGGCAAATGTGACTAGGTAATCTCTCCATCGTAGCTACAGGTTCGAATCCTGCCACTGGCACTGGCAATTTCGATGGGAATGGTTGTCTCCGCGTTTTTGTAACTCTCGCCCGTGCAGCTTCGGCTTAGGATTAGGGGGTTACCTAATTTCTGTGGTGTTTATATATTTATTATTATATATGGATATACATAGTATCCGCATAAGATAAATATTTGGGAGATACTATTGAGCATCATATCATTGGGCCGTTCTTTATAGATGGAAATTTATCTGCACAAAAATATCTGGAACTGTTACAAAACAACATGATGTCTGGTTTATTCCTTAATGTTAATAATTTGATTTAAATGGAATGTGGTTTCACCAAGATGATGTCCACCGGCATTACGGGGTCCAACGGAGGGAATATTGAAATTAAGTTTTCTCAATAAATGAATCTGCAGACGGTGATTCATAAAATGGCTTGCTAGGTCTCTTCATCTAACGCCCCTTTTCATGGGGCCATCTCAAAAGTGAAGTGTATAGCAAATGGCTAGAAAATTTGAAACATTTGAAAGCTCAAACAATAACCGAGATGGAGCAAGTATCATACACGGCCTTGGATAATTGCTTATGGATTCTTCCCCACAGATTTTGATTAATTAATTATTAATAGTGGATTTTTTTCAAATCACTTAATAGTTTTATCAGATTGTTAGAGCCTTCTCGAATAAGCACCACTGATAGAAAATGAGATCCGTCATTAAATGCATCTATTTATTACTATATTTTTGAAGAGTTATTTACTTTATTCGTGTTGGAAAAAATTCGTCTAAATTATTACTGACAGAGTATAACTTGCAATCAGCAGTGTACAACAGATTACTAAATCGTAATTTCAAGCTAATGTTATTTATAAACGTTAAAAATAATAGAGGTCCAAGAACGGACCCCTGAGAAACGCCTGCTGTTGATATTGCTTCGACAGACTTGAAACCACGGTATTGCACAGTAAATTTCCTGTCAGGCAAGTAAGAATAGAAAAAATTATTAATAGTCACGGTAAGTTCAATGTTGAAAATTTCTTGCATTTTATAATTATGATGGTATAACTGTGGGACATTCAGTTCACGGTGAAATATTTACGAATTATTTGGAAGAAAATCATAGTAATGTTAATCAAAAATCTCATGTTTGGTATAATTGATATGTAGATGATATTATGAAAACTTATTTGATAAGATCTAATAAAATAAATATACATTTTTTAAATATTAGTGATTCATATTGAAATATAACTTATTTTTGGAAATTGGCAAATGTAATTCCATTAACTTTTTAGGTTTATTAACTTTTAATACTTTACATTATTTTTAATATATCATAAAGGTTCTCATGCATAAACTAACACATAATTATTGCTACACACCCTTTAAAACACAAACAAGCCACTTATAATAGTATGATCTATGAAACACGTGTTAATTAACGTTCCTCTATCTCAATAAACTTTTTTAAAAAACTAAATGTAATAAAACAAATTGCAGTAAACAATGGCTATAACTCAACAACAAATGATGATATTTCTATTATAACATTTTACGAAAAAACCAGACAGCTAATTTCTTCAATTTTCACCACTTAAGATCAAATTTAAAAATTTCTAAAAATCTAGAGAAATGAAATTTTAATTTTGTGCGTAAAATAACTAATCTATTAATAAATAAGCTAACAATGATAACGATGAAATTAAAAATAAAAGTAAATCTGTTAGCCTTTCCCTAAAGGATATACCTAGGACAAATGAAAAGAAATTTTAAGAAAAAGATCCTAGAACATAAGAGAAGTTTTGATAAAAGAATATTTTGAATTTTGTCACAAATTCAGTTTATAATTCTGTGATTTTACGTATTAAAATTAACACTATTTAGAAATTAGTAAAAAGATTCAGAACTATTTCTATCAAGTTATCACTTCAGCGTAATTCACTACTAATTTGTGTAAACACTGGAATCTCTAACCTAGAAATTTTGTCTCTCGCTGTGTGTCGTTGGTAGGGATATTAAATGTGGTCAATTTACACCTCATTCGAAATATACCTCATCCACATGATCCGGCCCGAATTTGACAACAGGTGATTAGGATGAAATACGCGCAACTGTCAGTTACACCACCGAATCGGTAAGACATAATATTAAATTATAAGCTTGAAACAAATTCATCATCTTCATTAAATTTGTTTTAATTTTAAATTGTTTTATAATTTTTGAATAAGATTTGCAGGAAACAACTACTCAGCAGACAAAAGCCCCGACCTACATTGAATCAAACCTGCAAATCTTGTTTGTCAATTCCTCACTAGACATAGACCGGTTTCGAACTTTTTATGTTCTCGTCAGTATGCCATAAGTGATGGAAGTGACAAATAATAATAGCAAACTAGGCTAGCCTATAGTAGATTAAGCAAAACAGACATAATGAGTGATAAGTGTATCCCTCTGGTGGTCAGTGCTAGTACCAGTGAAACATCACTGATGTCTTAGTGACTGATAGCGACCTGCAAAGCAGGTACCAAGAGTTTCGACCTCTAACCCGGGTGGGCTAAACTATACTGAATAAGATTTGCAGGAAATAACTACTCAGTAGACAAAAACCCCGACCTGCATTGAATTAATGCGACAATGCGTTTGGTAGGCCGTTCTCTTCAAGAACACGGTTGTAGTTTGGTACATGTTACGTGTAAAGTGCATGCTTTACACCTTGTGCCAGAAACTATTCGACAAGGTTTTCCAGAGGTAGATGTATTAATATCAAGTACAAAAAAGTGTTTCTTAAATCTCCTAAACATCTTGGTGCATTTTATAGCATATATGATGCTGCAAAGCTTTTTAAGATCTTTAACAGTTTGTGATAACCAAGCTAGTTAAGAAGGTAAGTTGTGCATACATTGTTATAAATTGTAACAGTTTATTGCTTTTATTACTTGCTAATTTCTTTTATTACACTTATTATGATGTGTACGCCTATGTCCTGCGGCGCATTTTTGCCAACTCTACTTTTTTTTGTATTTATATTTATATTTACAATTATTACCAATATAAATCAATCATCATTCGCTCTTAGAGGTTGGGTAAAGTCGGAAAACTATCAGTAATAATAATTATAGAGCAGCGATTACGAAATTTAATAATCGAAATTCCATTATTAAAAATAATCGAGTAATTCTAATTAATCAATCATCGGTAAATCGATGATCGACTATCCGAACATCGATTTCTCGATTACCTATTATCGATTTCTCGATTATTATTTTTCCCAACCCTAATAATAATCAGCCTAGTACTCAAATCTGAGGAAGCTCTATTGACAAAATAACTATTTTGTATTGTGTGAAAATACATGAATATATTATTTCTTCAGTGTTTCGTTTAATAGTTGTTATAGTAAACATTTTGTTCTTGCATTTAAATTTTATTCTCTGTAACATCATATGATTCTTTATATTCATTTAAATTAATTTTATTTTAAGCATCTGTAAACATGTACAAAGATATTTTATACAATAAGTATTATACTAAAACCTTCAGAAGTTATGTTCTATCAATTATTGTAAATTAAGTTTAACATAGTAATTGAAATTACGTCAGTTAATTTGTTGCTTATATAATCTTTAAGTTTGATATATTTATCATGAATTTACCATATCCATTAATTACAATGCTTATATTTCGTATTTATTAGTTACTGTCGGATTCAATTAATTCTATAATAGTTTCTATTTC